AGCCCTGTTTGCAAAAGCTTGCATGATGTCACACCAGGAACACAGAAACCTCACAACTAGATTCAAGGCTCTCTCTTCTTCTCCTGGGGCTGCTGCTGAAAGCTATGAAGCTAAATGGGGAGCCAGAGAAACTTCTCCCATGGCGGGGATCTCCCTCCCCACTTCACTGCAGAAGCCAGCTGAAGCTATGTGAAGGGAAAGCCTTAGGTACAGGAAGAGAAAGTCTGTCTTGGGGCTTGAGACCCCTAGTGTCACCCTCTTCTTTCCCTTCTTGTTTTCTGGGTTTCGGGTGGGATAATACCATGGAGGTATTTATTAATCCCTAGAGCAGGAGTTCTCAACCTTTTTCTTCCTGACTGCCGTGTCCCCCCTGCATGCTATAAAACCTCCGTGGTCTGGGAGAGGAACCAGCCCAGCACCCCAGTCCAGCCCACATGGCTCTGGGTGCTGTGGGCAGGGCTGAGCGGCAGGGAGCCCCGGGACCCCACTCAGCTGAGCAGCAGCATGGAGCGTCGCACACCCGCCTGCCGCACTGCCCACAAGATGGAGGATGTGGGGTCGGGTGGGCAGGTTGGCCCCACCCCACCCCTTCCTCGGGACTCATCTCAGCCCCGGGGGGCTGAGGCGGCTCCTTCCCACACCAGGCTGGGCCAGGCTGACCCTGCTGAAACCTGCTTGCAGCCCCCCAGGGAGCTGCGAACCCCCAGTTGAGAACCACTGCCCTGGAGCGCACTGACCAGGATGGGAGTCTGGCAGTGTTGCTGGCGCGCTTTGGGCCAGAGTGAGACCTGGTGCACTTTGGACCGGGGCTGAAAACCTGACACATTTTAGTGCGGTTCATTAGTGTTTTAAATTGTATTTGGTGCTTTCCTTTTGTTTTCCTTGCCTTTTATTTTCTGTAATAAATCTATCCTTGTGTTTACACTGTTTACGAGGAGGAGGTTTTGTTTATGCAGGACACCTCAGCCAAATTTACTGATCCCAGATTTCTGGCTGGGGGCTCAAGCCACAGTGGGAACTTATTGGGTACCCCAGAATTTGCACCTGGCCCTTGTTGCTGCCAGCCGGTGGCCGGCAGAAGGGTTGTACGGTGTTTCAGCAATTGGACTATGTGGGCTAGATGAGCACACATGCCATCTGAATTAGTTTTAAATAAGGATTGTCTGGGTATCGTTGAGTCCACAGTGACTAACAGAACAGGGGAGAGTAGGTGGCTGTGATCTGGGGCAAAATAAGTAAGGCACAATTGAATGTAATGTTCATGCCCCTACCTTAAGTATTAAAGCAATTCAAAAATGAATAAATATGCAGATAATCTGAAACTATGAAAGAAAAGCCTTATCTAACCAGATCTGTACAGGGTAGCAGAGTGTCACCAACCACCTTCTAGTATCTGTTATATTATGGGCACATTGTCCCTCCAAAATGATGGGTGAAATCATGAATGGCATGAACATAGGGGAGGAATTTGCTTTTTGGGCAGGGACTATTGTCCAGCTAATGGGAGTAAGCCTGAGTGGATGTGTCAGCCAGCGATTGGTCTTTTTTCTTTATCCACATGGAAAACTGGTTGTTGGTTTTGCCATGGTCTTGATCCATCTGATATTTTATATCACTTGTCTCTTCCTTGGCTTCCATGGAGTGAGCTCTGACTTCCATTTTGCTTCTGGCCCCTTAACCTTTCCTTTATTTCTGGCCTCTTTAGGATGGAGGAGAGTATGGCATGTGATTTTACCTCTAAGTTGGGTCACTTGAGGTGTGGCCCCAGCAGCTTGGAGACGGGTGATCTTCCTGACACCCTCTGCAACATGCAGTGAAAATGACCATATGCCGGACTTTTTTCCTTCCGAAAGATCTCCAGGCTCCCTGCAAACAAAAGGAATTGCTTCATCATTCCAATGCAGCCTCCTCCATAGTAGAAAGTAGAATCCATTTTGCACAGCACAGCAACAACTACATAAGTGTCTCCAATATGAATGAAAACCATTTCCATTTCAATCTACCTTGGAACTTTAAGTTGGCTGATAACCAGATACTGAGTTGAAATTTGACTGGACTAAGACCCCAGTCTTGCAAGTGCCAAGGGGTCTTTTAATGCAAACTTCTCTTTACTTCTGTATCTGTCAGATCTGTGCAGTCCAGTGTCCCCAGGCCACTGTATTTACTGGTGGCCTATACAGGCGATATGGGTCCTGCTGGCTATCACGTGTTAGCAGCTGGAGCCAGCTGGTTATACGCTCTCCCCTGGCAAGAATGATATCCTGGCCAAAGATGGGCTTTTTTCCTGTTAAGTGGTGCTGATTCTCATCTTGTGAAAATATAGGCATCTCTGTAAAGGCTGAATTTCCCTAGCTAAACATCCTGTCCCATCTGCTCCAAGTAACGCACGTTCCCTTCACTATTTGAGTTTATTTGCCCGATTTTATGTGAATATTAAAGAGATCATGAAAAGGACATTTTGATGGGCCTAATTCCATAAACGTCAGGGGAATTCAGATTCTCTTGAACTTCCCTGGTGTTTTGTCAGGATGTAGATGGCAGGTACCTAGTTGTATCAGATCACACCTGAATCTGAACACTTCTGTTAGAGAAGACCAACTCTGCATAGAGGTGGTTGGGATTTTCTCCCATGATTTAATTTTATTCACCAAAAAAATAGCGTTTTCAGATATTTGACCTAAATTTGCCAAATAGTTTTGATCAAAGCAGATGCCCCTCATGAGCACACAGACGAACCCAAACCAACCTAGAATGTGGTGTTTGGGAGCACTTGTTAATTCAAGTTTAGGAAACAACGGGGCCACTTTAAAAGTACCCTTTTCATTAAGTCACCTCACCATTTGGGTATATGTCCAGCATGGGGGAAACCAACATTCACCTTCCTCTAGTGCCGGAGAGGATTTGAACGGATATGTCTTATTTTCTAGGGGAGAGCCTCTAGTCTCGACAACTTTGGGGTGTGTTGCTATCAGTCTCTTCTGTTAAAGTGGATCCACTTTCCTTGGGGAAGGGAAGGGAAGGGAAGGGAAGGGACCCCCCCGCCCCCAACACTAGAACATTGCTTTGAGTCAGCTGAAATGTCCAAAACCAACTTGTTCTGGGTCACTTTAGAGTAAAAACCTTCTACCTCCCCAGCCCCCCACTCCAATCTCTGCCCCCATCTTTCTTCCAAGACTGAAGACAAAGAGGCATCCTTGACTGAGTTTCCTGGCTTTTATGGCTTTATCTGATACTTAGTGTTTATATTGGAAAACTTCTCTTTAAACTACTTAGTCGCTGCTTGGCAGGGGAATGAGAATTATGGTTTGTGCATCAGAGGTCCCTGAGTGTCTAGGACAGAAGGCATGAAAAGGCTGGGAAGCACATAAGAGCCTTCTAGCTAAGGGCAAGTATTGGGGAGATGAAAATTGCTGCTAATGTTAAAAGCAAGGGCTAGAACTGGTTAGTGATGGTAATGTGAATCATAGAGCAGTTCTGTTGGCTTTAGTGACACTGTTCTGGTTTGGTATTGGCACAGTTGAACATGGACTCTGGAGGGGGAAGAATTATTCAGGGAAGGCTCAAAGGGAGGAGAATCAAGAGAAATTAAATGAAACAGCTGAATAACAAGGAGAAAATCTTCCTGCTCATAAGAGTTCTAAGAACACGTTTCTTAAAGAAAATAGTGGCAGCCCTAGTGATTTGGACACACTTCTCCATCTAACTGAAACAAATCCATTGTGCAATTGGAGCAAGTGCATAATCCAGGATCAGGTGGGAGATCTACTAATATGTCTCCCTTTTCTGTCGTCCCCTGTTATAGGGTGATTATAACTATTGCCCATTGATTGTGGTATTGCGAGTGGGCCATAAACACCGGAGGGGTGGTTCATTTCACTGGGACATCTCTATCAGCTGCAGATGAGACAGCATGAGGCCAGGGCCCAAACTGATCTGAATGATGCTTTATCTCTCAAAATTGCTTAGCCTCCCTATTTTTCTTTCTTATCAGCATCATGTTATTCTTGCTATGCCATGTCTCCCTCATTGAACAAGAATATCTGCGTGCATGCGTGTGTATATATGTGTGCGTTTCCTTGAAACGTTATCGGTAAGAGCATCTTTGAAGTTGTGAAGCTGTGTATGCATTATGTGGTTGCCTTCCTATCTCTTATTTTCTTTTTTCTGTCCTGCACAGATAATCTCAAAGCCTGGTGAGCTGGTTTTTTTTTTCTTGTTCTATTAGACTTATTCTACTAGCTCACAGGGGCTTGTAAAAGATATTTTCTCTAGCAGTTATAAAGAAAAATAAAAATTCCAAGTATCCCTGAGGAGAAGAAACAAAAGCAGCAGCATGGATTTGTTAACATTTAGGTTGAATTAGCCAAGAAACTGACATTGTCCAGATGGAAAGACCCACTTCCTGGCTGTAAAGATAACATGCTAAAGAAATATTAGCTGTGGCTGCACGGGAGATGAAAAGTGTAGTCCAAGCCAAAAATCATCCCAAACCCAGTGGGAGTTGCCTTTTTTTTTCCTTGAGTTGAGGGTTCAAGTTTGCTTAGTAAGGAAACATGCCTGGTATTTCCTTGAGAAAGGGTAGATGGTTAGAGCATTGCCTTGACCCTTGAGGTCTGGAGCTTGTTCCCTGGTTTTCCAGAGACTTTCGTACCACTTCATGCAAGTCGCTTACCTGCCTTTGTTGCCTGTTGGCGTAACTTCTGTGCCTCACCTCCCTATTGGGGAAGCTGATGAATACGGTTGGTAAGATGGACGTAATGGGATATCTGGAAATCAAGGGATTGAGGGAGCAGTGTGCTGGAACCTGCTGATACTGAGCATCTCTGCATTGCTGGTATTACCTAGGGCCAGAGCAAAGAAATCCTTGGATGGCTGAGGTTCCTTTAGTTAGTAATTAATAAAATGAGATGACAAATGGTCTCTTGAAAGCTGTGAATTGTAGGAATGAATTAAACTAAGTGAACACATGAAAAGTGGGGTACTTGGATGTGTTTGCCTAGAGTAAGGTCATTCATCAATTAACCCCTTCCATGTTTGCTTGACTGCATGGTCCTTAATTTACTTAACTATGCTTTTGTAGCTGTAGCAACCACTGCTGAGAATCTGAAGAGATTTAATTTGTCTGGGAAAAAAGGCTTTTGGCTCCCCAGGGCAGATGATGGCTTATTAAACTACAAAATGAATTGAATAAATCACTTAAAAAACCATAAATCAGGCACTATTGGATTTTAATTTAATATTGAGGTGAAATCAAAGTAAGATGTACCCTGTAGCGTTTGACACGTTCTAGCCACTCTCCTCCCAGTTACATACGTGGCATGCTAATTATTCCCAATTACACTTAATGTCCAAATCCATCTGAGTGTTAATCCTTTGTTCTCTGCTAATGGGCTTATGCAGAACCTTTTTCAGCAGTTTAGCATTTTTTGTGATTTCCATATCAGAAATTATCATTTTGTCATGTATTAGAGTCTTTTGTGAATGTCATAAAAAACAGGCTTTAGTAAAGCAAAGCAACATGACAGAGAGGAGAGAGAACTAAGCTGCTAATCGAGAGTGCAAGATGGGGCAGTAATGGATTAAGCCCCACTATATTGTAAACCTTTACTTGACCCATGGGAATGATCATCCTTGACTGTGAGGGATCACTGATGAGGACGATGACAATAATCCTATGTTTTTAAATGACTGCTTTGCTTTGGTCCTGTGACAGAGAGAGCTTGCCCTGTGCCAGTAGGATATCATAGTTTCATAGTTGGTAGGGTCGGAAGGGACCTGAGCAGATCAT